TATGGCTGGAGAAGTGGAAGCAGGCATGTTTGACGTTTGCCCACTTATGGGAGTGTGGTGACCCAGTGGATTTAGAGTCACAGACGCAGCAGTGCGGTTGGAGCGCCTAGCTCTCTTCTTTGGTTTAGACTCAGAGCTTATTTAGCCGAGTGAGGTATTATCGTGACCATATTTGCCTCCGAGTGAGCGATCTTAGTATTTACAAATTGCGCGATTATTTCAGTCATCCTATCGCATTTTTTCATGAGTAAAGATAAGCGGTTGACAACTGTAACGACTTGACATGTTGGGCAAAACCAAATTGTGTCAGCAACTTGGTTTGTCTGTCTCACTTCTTGGACGGATTTGCCTACACATTGGGGAGAGTACGATATGATGCAGCTAGAACAGGTAATACTGATCTTAAGCACTTTACTGCAGTTGTCTGCGCAACATAGGCGAGGTTGAACCATAGTCGTCTTCATCGTTTACAGCACGGTCTGTCTAAGAGCTCACCTTTGCGCTAGGGGTGACGCACAAATAGGTCAGAACATGCACACGAAGTGATGGTTGTTCAACCGCACCAAGGTCAGTGCGGGGAGGCAGATGGAGGTCATAACGCGCAGACTGTCGGATTCAGCGAGCAATCGACTCGCAGTTGAACACACACCCACACAAAGCGGCAGCGTGTGTTAATCGGCCTACCTTAAGCGACGGTGCAGGCGGAGCGCTGATAAGCGTCCCTAGAGCTGCTCAGTTGATGAGCGGAGCAAAAAGGCTGTAACGTTGTTATGCTGCAACTTGCAGGGATGGTTGCCGCGTAGTTCAGGAGCCCTCAACTTCTTCTTCCGAATGAGACCAAAATCTTTTCTGAAAGACTGGTTTGATGTAATTACACAAATAAAATTCGACAAAGAATATGCCGAAAAATGGGAACTGGAGCAAGGGTACAATCCACAGAGGTTAGATCCAGGAGTTGGAAAGCACTTAATAGAGCTCGTCGAACTGGTTCGAATGAGCGCACACAGAATATTGTGTTGGAAGGATTGGAGTGGCCACAGTGGACAAAGCGAGAGACGAGTTAAAGTGCGGCCGCACGGTAAAGTCTATCTCGGTGAAGCATTTATAGAATGAAAGATGCTCAATCTAACCATTTAGATGGCTTCGTGCGGCGCATGCCTGGTCACCGCTTACCTAGGAGGGCCTTGTTCAGTCTACCAGGTGTAGGATGGTGCAAGGCTCGAGGTGGACAGAAAGTGACTTGGCAGCGGGTAATGAAGTCACTGACAACTAAACTGAGTGCCGTTGGTTCGTCTCGCCTTCCAGGCTGGAGTCCACGTGACTCGCCTTGTGTTTGGCTTGAGACTTTACAGGACATTGCGCGCAACCGACACCAGTGGCGCGTCTGCTGCCGTCTCCTAGTCGGACTGCCTGTTTAAAGTGTGTTTGGTGCTGAGTTATCTGCAGGGTAATGGCTGATTATGACGCGTGGCAATGAAAGCCGCAAGGAAGCTGTCTCGCCGATGCCGCCTTATCTTCGCACGATAGCTAGCTGTTTGTGACGGAATGTTGTCTACACAAGGTGTAGGCGCCTTGACCCTGAATGTTTGCTTAGGGCATTAAGGTTTCCAGGTAAGTCCCCTTTCTCTCCCTCTTCTTATTCTTTATTTCATAGGTCCTCATGGTTGTATGGCAGCGGAGCATCAGTTCAAATGGCTGGTGTACTGCTGTTGATGATGATGAGATGGCTTCGTGCCACTTCGACAAAAAAGCAAAACCTACTCCGGTGTCTTGTAGCAAGAGCGATCATCATCATCATCATCATCATTATACATGTCAGCTAGAGGTGGTGAAACACCTCCGCTATTGTACCGCCATACATAAAGGAAATACATATATACATACAATACATAAAGGAAAAATAAATTAAACACTTGCATGCCAGCTGAGCTACCAGCAACGGATAGGCATCGTTCAAGTAAGCTACCAGCCAGCTACTAGGCAAAAAATATTATTATGTTTTACCCAACGAAATGAGATCGTAGATGGAGGGGGAGGCTAAAAGGGATGGGGAACGACAAAGAAACTTACAGAAGCGACGCCACTGAGGTCGGCGCTTTGCCATGTCAGCAAGTGTATCCAGCCAAACGTGTTCACCGTCTTTTGGACCCGAACCAGGGAGCCGTGAAGCTCCAAACGACGCTAGCTCCGAAGTGAGGGACTTCATTCCCCTGAACCAAGTCATTGCTTGGCCATCTCTCCTCTTCTTCCACCCACATCCCCGGTGAGCAAACAACGCAGGTCGAGGGAGTCGGTGGGCTGCCATGCGCAACACGTGGCCAAGCCATCGGAGCCTGGTGCGAGAAATAACGGTGCTGAGCGGTTCATGCCCTTTTACTGGGCCGTAAACAATGCGTCGAACACGCTCATTACTCACGCGGTGTTCCCATCAGATGTGAGCCAAACTGCGAAGGCACTGATGGTCGAACGAGAAAGAGCGATGAAGCAGAGCACGCCGTTTTAACAAACCCTGTTCCTTAATAACGACTATCCCCAAACCTTCATTGATAGGAATATGCGAACAGATTTTGTGGTCACCAAAACACCCACAGTAGGAAATAAGCCCGTCTGATTATCGTTGACGTTCAAGTGAGACAACTGTTCCGAAATCCTTAGCAAGCGATTACGACCGGTCGTCATTAGCATCTATTGGGTCGCACAGTTACGCATTATCTCTACATCCACGCCGATTCCATACCTCCGGCTGAAAGATAAACTGTCTATGAATGTCACCTCCTACTGTTTGTACCAGTTTACCCGTCCCTAGGGGAAAATTTACAAACGTCGCACCACGAAACGTTCGTTTGAACGCGTCATCCATCTTGGTTAAGTCGAGGATTGAACAAGACGTGCACCGTCGCGATAGTCGCGCACTTAGCCAAGACGAATTATCCCGTCGTTATCTCCATAGCCTTTCGCCCGTTCTACCGTGTGATGGAAGCTTCTCAGATGCCGAATCCTTGCATTGGTGGAGGTGATCGTGAATCGATCAAGCCATCCCTGCTGTGTGTGCACAAGCAGTTCTTCAAGACTTTGGCTCTGCCATGGTCAGCCGTTGTCTGGGTGGCTTCTGTGTGAACTTTCGTTCTCCAGTGACTCAACACATCCTTTCGCATTCTAACTATTTAAATGTGATGTACTTGTTTTGTTTTACACCCTCCAACGCAAATTCTTTTACCAAGTTAGGCAAAAATCCAATCCTCTGCTGAACGTTGCCAGCTATCAGCTTGAATTCGTTAAGAAATTAAAGTATCTACGCGACTATATCAGCACCAGTGCAATGGAATTGATATCAAAAACCTCATAGCAAATGTTCGAGACGTTGTTTTCAATCTTAGCCACCTGTGGCTCCGGCATATCACCACTCTCGCTCTGAAGGGCAACGTTTACAGTGCAGCCGTCCGCTCCACTCTGCCATATGTTTGAGGAACCTGAACCATCAAGTCGACAGACATAAAGATTACAGTCACCTTTGATCATCGCTGTCCTGTTGGCTTAGCTCATATCTGATGGAAGCACCGCGTGAGCTTTGAATCTTTTTGGCTTCCTCTATTAGGTGCAGTAAGCGAGTGAACCGCTCAGCACCGATACCTCAGGCGCCAGTCTCCGATGGCTGGTCCACGTGTTGCGCATGCCAACCACTGACCCCTGCGTCGTCCGTTGTTTGCGCTCCCAGGGTGTGGCTAGAAGAAGATGAGGGGAGGCCAAGCGATGACTTGGTCAAGAGTAATCAAATCTCTCCCTTCGAGTTTGGCGTCAGTTGTTTTGTCCCGAATGGCTGACTGGGATCCCAAGGATGATGAATAGTTCTGGTTCGATACACTCGTTGACATGGTAAGGAGCCGACCTCAGTGATGTTTGTGTTATGAGTTGCTTTGTCCCTCCCCATCCCGCCTATCTTTCTCCTCCAAGGACGAGCTCTCTTGACGCATACTATGTTCTTACCTAGTGTGTTACTGGTTTTGCATTCCATACTTTTCAGTATCTTGCCTTTTCTTATGTCTTATCCTTATGCATTGCATCACATTAGTTGAAGTGTGTTTTTCACCAACTAATGTGTAATATGGACAATGAATGATGATGATCTATTTGGCCTGACAATAAATCACCGAAACGCGCTTTCTGTCTGCCTGAAAGGAGAGTTATTCACCATTTGAAACAAGTGTGTCGACCGTGGTGAGTTGTTGGCCTTTGTCAGACATTGATGAGGAAACTGGTTGGCTCGATTAAAGACAACACTGTAAGGAGATTGTCTCGTAACCTTGTGGCGTGGGTTCGAATACTAGTAGGGGTGGGCGCCCTCGCAGTATACTCAGCCCGCGGGCGACTGGTGGTGGCAGTACGGCAGTAAAACACCATTACGGCGTACAGCTGAAACAGTGTTAGTAGTAGTAATATTGGTACTATAATATTACTTTGTAAATCCTACCTGTTCCAGCATGTCCTAGGCATGCGCTCTGACTGCTTGCCTAAACGATTTGGGCATAATACATAGTGCCAGCATCCGCTTCGGTTGTATTGCGGTTAAATTCCACTCTTGACACAAGTGCTGATAGAACCCTTGTTAACTCATGACGTTTTGTTGAGCTGCGTTGACATTCGCATAACCATAAAAAGGTGTTTGAAGCTATCTCAGTAAATATCGGCTTAAGCAGCTATCAATGTCAATAAGCGTACCAGAACACTGGTTTCAGTGTAACCAAGCGGATGCCAAATTTTCTCACAAGGTTGGTTAGTAGAGATCGTTTTCATTTGGCAAACTAAATTGTATTTTGGTCGCCCTTATTATTCCTCTCTAGATTGAATTTTTGATAGGGACTATGGTCTAGACAGTTCCTTTCTTCAAATTCGACTTGACTCTGTATATGGCAGATTTTGTAAATAGTTCACTAAATATTTTATAGCAGTGTGTAACAATTCAATGACTACCACAGCCCTATTTTCATGCAAACACTTACCACATATTTTAACTTCACTGGGTCTTAACGACTCTGTCGCACTTGGTAAATAGGTGAGAGTTTTGTGACTGAATGTGGCCGAACGCCTGACAATCATAGAATGTAGTTGGGAATCTGCGGGGCAAACGGAAGCGCTCCTTGTTGATAACTGCTGGAGTTCTTCGTCTGACCACACCTGTCGTTTCTTCTTAGCGCCCGGAATTGCTAAGTAGAACATTACCTTTTCCTCATCTGTAAGCAAACTGCTGGTTGCGGCCACAATGGGGTGAGCAAGTTTGCCAGAATCCCAGTAAAAATAATGGGGACAATAAGTCAGGCTTGACAGAGAGTTTGTTGAGATATCAGTTGTGGAATACAGCGAGTCCACAGAACCCACTGGTCCATTTACTGAGTCATTTGGACGACTGACTTCAGTCAAAATCGAAACTTGTACCCTAGTATTTGAGACGCGATACCATAATTCCCCGTTTCTTGGTTGCTGAGGTCGCCCACCCCGGCACCACTTGTCCACTTCAAACGATTCGGTCTGGGTTTTATTCCAGCTGCTTTCTGTACGTCGTATCTGAGGAAATCCCAAACAACCGCCATCGTCAAAAGTAGTGATACCTTTGCATAAAAATAGCCGTAGTGACCATCTTTTTGTCCTGCCTCCGTTTATACTACCCTTGGCGGACGATTGAGCTTTCAGACCGGGAATGGACAATTCAACGAACAGAAAACGTTGTATACCCCTGCTTCGACACGTGGATGGTGTTTTATCCCAGGGCACATCCTTGGCAATTATCGCCTTAGGTGGAGTAAACTCGATCAGAGGATTCTGTTCGTCAGAGCGTGCGGTTTCTCTGATGCTTTTTGATCTCCGTCGAGGAAAACCTGCCTCCAATTGACTTTTGGTCTTGCTTTGATTACTAACTCACCTGCACAACTCATTCATTTAGGACCTCTTATATTGCTACCTCATGCGACAAATTAAATCATGCTACTTTCGGTAAACGTCGATCCGCTCATCGGCTTTCGCGCGTGATGAGTCACGTGCCTTGCTAATCGGCAGAGTCAGTGTCGACATTGGTGTGTTTGCTGCGTTGTATTTGCTATCAGCTAAAGGTTTTCGGTTCGTGTATACAGCGCAACATAAATCATAAACGGGAAGCTATCACTCCACTCCGTGGGGTAGCCTTTTTCTACTTCATCTGCCTTGGTATGTATCGAGAAGTTTGGGCCGCGGTATTCGCACACCAAATACCGGGAAAGAAAAAATGCAGAGAATCAGATACACCCTGAGACAAATTGCCTATCCACAGAAATTTATCTCGAAGCGTCGGAGGGAACAAAATCAAGCTATCTAAAAGCATTGCTCTTAAAAAAAAGCTGTTCATGCACTTGATATTTGAGGGTGTCAGCTGCTGATAGCCTATTCCGACGCTTGAATGTTGCTGTGGAGAAGACATATTTCGTGGCCCGATTGCGAACTGTTCATCACAACGAACCATTTCTTGCAAAACACTTCAAAGGTGACTTGCCGTCGTTGGCCCATTCATTGCTCGTTCATCAGTGCTAGTGTCCCTGTGATACGGGATACATCATTCACACTACGAGGCGCCTTTCTCATAGGATTCGCGAGCACATCCCAGCTTGGTTCTACAAAGGCAAGATGGGATCTTCAAAAACCTTTATTATATCACACCTTGATTTTTGCCATATTATCGCTGGTGGTGACTTCAAAGTCAAATACTCACCAGTTGAATGTTTCACACAGGGCTTCCGTAACCAGCTTCTATCCGCTTAAACCTTGAACTATGGGTGCAAAAGCGATACATCCGTACTTTAGTACTTCATTGACCAACGGACAAGTGTACTTAAGCATTTGATTGTCATCTGAGCTACTAGGTAATACTTTTCGTGTTGTTTTGCTTACTAACTATATCCTAACGCTGAGCTATCGAGCGCCTGTCCAAATAACTACGAACATCAGTTCACAGGAAAGACACGCACACCGATCAGATCCTAAATTTCAACCGCAACCATCCAAAAGGTCAACAAATCAGCTGCATATGAGCCTTGTTTCGCAGGATAGAATCACACTGTATTACTATGGAAGCAAAACCAGAAGAAAAAACCATCTTTTTACATTCCTCATGCGCAATGGATATCCACGTAGTTTCATCCGCAGATACATGAGCTGAAATACTACCAATGCCACGCCTGAACCAAGAACAAAGAAACGGATCGATTTGTCCCACATCAAGAACGTACCGGAAATAACTGCTCGACTCCTCAAGCCTTACCACCTGTAGTTAGCTAACATACAAACCGCTATTCTGAAAGCAACCCTATCTAGACGGAAGAGGAATACGGGAGCACATGAACGTCGGAAAGTTGTCTTGAGGACACAGTGTAACAGGTGTGGGAAACACTATGTGGGCAAACACGGAGAAAGTTATCTACAAGATTGCAAGAACACAAGCGAGCCTGTCGAAACCATTATTCATCATCATTGGTCTCTACACTCGTTGATGAAGAAGGGCACATGTTTGATTGGGAGAACGCGGATGTCCTAGATCAGAGAGAGACAAGAATAGGAAGTGAATTTCTCGAAGCACGGTTCTTTATGGAGAACTTGATAAACCTGTGCATTGACTCAGACCCGATCTACCATCAACTGCAAAAAAGGGAACTTAAGGTGGGTCATTCACCGCATTAGTCTAAAAGAGGCGGCGATCGCACTGCAAACTATCACGAGACGTGAAATGAAGTGACTAAGTTCAAACATCACTTTCTCATCAGTTACTAGTTGTTCGCGTTTCTTCTTGCAATATACAATTTTTGCATAGCACGCACGGATGAAATAGTTCGGCTCAGAGAACAAACCTGTACCTGAAGCCAGAAATCGATTTTCAGGCATTTTAGACACCAAAAACACATAAGCCATACTATGTAAACGTTTGGATCCGATGAGAGTTTACTCGAAAGGAATTGTTAACCCAACAATCTATTGGTTTTGAATTGGTTTTGAATTAGTTAAATTCAAAGCAGTTGAAAAATTGTGAAAATTTCCTAGGGTGCAATTCTTCAAAAGCAGTGCGGTACCCACATGTTCTTGATGTCAGCGAGACGAAAACTTACGAATTAGTGCACGAAAGCATCTGTTATCATTCTTCTGAAGGACTAGAACTAGCTCTTATTGTATATCTAATGGCGCTAGTTGTATGCGTCCGATTCAAACGATTTATGTGATTTTGTTACCGTGTGAAAAATTTTGGGCTCACTTCAAAACTGAAACGTGCTACGAATCAGTATTCTCGGCTCCTTTGACCAAAACTAATGATGCCTATGCAGGCGTTGCAACTATTATGCCCATGAAAATTATACGCATGTTAGAGTATAGCTATTCAATGTAACAATGGTATGATACGGGTAAGTATATCCGAAACCTGACAAGTCAACTGGAATGGTTTGTATAAAATTACATAAGTACAAAACGTCACAACAAAGTGAAAAGTGCCTCTGGTGAATGCACTATTTTAGCTACATTTGCACACAGTGTAGACGAACATGATCTTCCTAAATACTTGTCATATGAGGAAAACTCAAATTGGTGTACACAACATTAGGTGACCAGGTGCCTACCTGTCTATTACCCACTACCTCGTCCATACTGACTCCAGGAGATAGTTGGTCGTTGCTGGAGACGACGAGGTGCAGGGTTCTTGTGGCCGTGTTATGATCAAAGAGTGGTTCCATGCACTCAATGTGGAGCGGACTACGGTCCAGCCACCGCCTTGTGTGTGCGCTTGTTTCCCAAATACAGCTTGCTTGCGTTTGCTGTGAACGACTGCATGCCGGCTCCGTTGAAGAAACCTGACTCCAATCCACATGCCCCCCGGTCTTATTCCTTCGGGTTCACACTGGATATGGGGTGTGGGGTTGGAGCTGTGGATGGTGAAGCGCAAGCCACCCATGGTCCCGCTGTAGGCGCAGGCGTCCTGTGAGTTGAGGCAAATCCGAACCGGATGCCGCCAACCATGGCAGCGAAGCATTAGTGCAAAAGGCTGGTGTACTGCTCTTGATGATGATGATTGCTATTTTTAGACATTCAGCCAGATGAAACACCGTGTAGGCAGCATTCAACATTCTCAAGCGAAATATTCTCGTGTAACTCCTGGTTTGATAAAAGAAAATAATGTAACAGCTCGTTTAGAAAACTACATGCTTCATACTAGATGTTGTACCAAACTTGGCTCATTTTGTCGGTGAATGACAACCCACGAATTTAAGCGATTATGTTGACAATTTGTTCAGGTCAGGTCTTTAGGGACGATGCGCTAAAGCAACAGACGCGTTTCGCCCTATTGGGGCTCGCCATCAGTGTGCATCTTTGGTCCCATACTGGGAATCGGACCTATGGCTGCCAGATAGTGACTCCGACTAGCCAGCAGTTTAAGCCGCAGACATGGGGGTTGGTGGTTGGGCTAGATAATTTGCAAGCTAACTGGGATATAGCACAACTTATCTTCCCCTTCCACGCAGCTTGCCATACTGCCTTTATAGATGCAACAATGGAAAAATGGTGTATTACGGGTACAAATGCAATACTTAAACAGTCCCGTGGGTTAAGAATTATTGCGAAAAATAACTTTGCATAATATAGTGAAAGCGTTTTAGTGGACTCATCATAGGCTTAGGTAGAATACCGGCAATGTTAGTGTATTAAATGTATAAAGCCATAAATCCACTGTTTGGTAGTTTGGTAAGACACTGTTTGATTGTGTTTTGTAGCCCTTGGCTAACAAGTCATAAAATGAAATGTAAATGAGACAACGCATCCTTAACTCGATTTTTAAATATCTCCAGACTGGTAGCAGAGACAAGGTAATTATCGAGAGCGTTCCAATGCGGACACACGCAGAGCGAAAAGAAATTTCTACGGCATTCAAGACGGATATACCGAATTGTCAGTTTCAGATGATGATCTCGTAGGTTAGTGTTGTGAGTCACTGCCAGCGGTGTTCGGCAAATGAGGTTTGGGTTCTTCAAGATCTGGTATACTATGATGAGATCCCCCCGCAAAAGCTGTTATCGACCGCTGTTCATGCTTAGAGATTTCAGTCTAAGGTGTTAGGGCAGATGGAAGAGGTCCCTGACGTTCTTGGTTGCCCTAGGTTAAGGATTCGCGAGAGTGACGACATCCTGTTTCTGCCACGGCTGCTATACCTGAATAGTATATTGCACGTGCCGTCGCATGTAGGCGTTAAGCGTTTGGGGAAATCTACGAAGCAGGCCGAAGTGTTGATTGCCGGTTCTCTTTGCAACCTCCGATAGTTTTATGCACTCGAGATCTTGCTGTACCAGTAAACACAGGTCACGCTTCTGAGATGCCTTCTGCAAGGTGCGATCTCCAAGCTTGTAAGCGCTCACTGGCTGGTGACGCAGATGCATCATATTGCACTTAGCTATGTTCAACTGAAGCTGGTTCCTCTTTCACCATTCACAATTATAAGCTAATTTATGTTGCAGTAGATCGTGATCTGCATTGTTTCTAATCGCTCAACATATCTTGAGGTCATCGGTGAAAATCAGGAAATTTGAGGAGATAATTCTTGCCAGGTCATTAGTAAACACCAGGAATAAGCGCGGTCCCAGCACTGAGCATGTGAAACATCGCATTCCACCTAATTCGGGTTAGAGAATGATCCCCTAACGCGTAGTTGAAGCTTCCGTCGATGAAGAAAGTTGCCAATCCAACCAAGTACAGGATCTCCGATTCTGTAGCTCTGTAGCCGGTGAAGTAGAATGCGGTGATCCAGGCGGTCGAAAACTTTGGAGAAGACAAGGTGGATGACGTCAACTCTGACCCCATCATTAGCCACTTCCGTCGAACTACCTCGTGCAATCGATAGACTGGTGGTGCATGACCGGTGTTGACGGAATCCATGCTGCTCCGGTGTCAAGATGTTGCGTTTTTCCAGGTAGTCCATT